GTTTTATTTGTTTCTATTTTAAAAATTTAACGGTGCTAACTTCCTTGGGACGCCCTTTTGCTTCTCGTTTGCCTAATGGTTGAATACGCGTTTTATCGCTAACTTGATACAAGTTAAATAAAATTGCTAGTCCAACAGAATGTTTACACGGATAGACTAATAATGAACCAAAAGGATTGTTGCCACACCAGAAAACCATTGAATATAAGCCACCGACGAGAAAGATAAATACCTAGCCAATGATACATTCAATAGTTTTCTGTTGTGGTAACAATCTTGTTGGCTTATTGTACCATTATTAGTCTATTCATGTAAACATTCTGTAGGATTAGCAATTTTATTTAACTTGTATCAAGTTAGTGATAAAACACATATTCAACCATTGGGCAAGCGAAAAGCAAAAGGACGTTCCAAGAAAGTTGCCACAGCTTTATTCTTCATTTCGTTAAAATTTCAATGAATATGTTTGTGTTGTACATTATATTTTATTTGAGAAATAAAAATGTGAGACGCATGCTGGAAAATTTTATGATCAAAAGTATCTTTATTTGGTGATAATTTGTATCTAAAGATGTTTGGTGATCAACAGTACAGTTACTCTAAAATAAACGTTTTCTGAAAAGACATGTAATTGAATTTCTTCATTAGTATTGTTGATAACTATGTGGATCGGTATCCGATTACGATCGTTGAAGCGACATATAGTAACATTGAATTTATTTGAAAGTCAATCCCAAGACGTCGAAGAAATCCGATATGAACACATATCAACACGTTCGTTTATAGTTCTACTGTTGATTGCACTCTACATTATCATCACCTATACGGCATCATCGCAACAACTAAAAAATGTTCGTGTACAATCGCCTTCACTCTTGACGTATAACGATTTGTATTCAAAATATTCTGATACTCTCAAATGTGAATGCAATCAATTATCGATCAACTATGGCGTATTTATCTCGTTCAAACCGACATTCCATCGAGTTTGCTCGAGTAGTTTTACCTCTCAACAATGGTTCGATTATCTAGGCTATCAAACTACTACTCACTGGAGGCCGTTGGATTTTCGTGCTATTGTTCTCTCACAGTTCCGAGCATTAAACACATTTTGTCAGTCGGCACAAATCTTCATTACTGATGCTCTCGTTCAATTCAATCAAACAAATTTTTTGAGTTCTCAGATCGTTTCCGACGATCTGTTTCACTTGCAAGCACAATCATTTATTGACTTATTTCAATGGCAAATACCCACTGTGTTCATCAACACTGTGCAATTGGTTCGTCTAACTACGCAAGCAAATCAAATTGGCAATGGTTTACAGACAAACTTCAAATTAAATGTGTACTTTTCTAACGGTAATCTGGTCGATTCTGTCAACTCTCAAACGTATGATGGGGGATTTACACCCATGTGTGAATGTCAGTATTCAGCAGATTGTACAAGCGTGACATACGCATCCGCTACAGATGAGTTAAACTTTCTAGAAGAGGACGAAGAATACGACTTGTCGAAACCGATTACCGGTTTCAGAGCTGGATGCTATCCGATTGAGGCTCTTCTACAATCAACTCTCGAATGTTTCTTCAACCAGTCATGTTTTAATATAATTACCGACAATATTGTATCAACAGTCCCAATGAATGCTACAATTCTCAGTTCAACGTGGTCAAGTCAATATGCTCCAAACACCACTATCGAACAGATGATGAAGCGAATGATGATTGAACAATGGAACCCAACCATATCATATGAGTCTTACTTTCGCAACTGTGCACCGTCCTCATGCACATACACTTATGCCACAAGAGATGACCTATTGTACTTGATAGTATCTATTCTCGGACTCTCTGGTGGTATAACAGCAGTACTCAAAATCATCACACCGTTCTTGATCATGATTTTTCGAAAAGTTAATGACAAAAGTGAAGAAGTCCCTGCCAGTAAGTTAAAGTAGTATATTTCTCTATTTAGACTACTCACTTACGTTCTTACTACAGATCACTATTTCTGTCACCTATTGATGACAAAGTTCGTTTTATGATCATGGTGATAGAGAATGAAAAACGAATTACTATTACTGTCTGTAATAACGTCACATTCTCAGGATCAGAGCAGTTTACAGCGTGACTGTCATCTAGAAATGAGTTTTTAAAGAAAACAGCTATTTTCAATTATCTTAGCATGTACTTCACTATTCGTGTCGGTTCAATCTCCATTTGATGAGTGATATCTAAGTCATCAGGCAAATTCGACCTTCAAATCGTATGTCAATCAGTAGGATTAGAATTTGGATTTTGACTTTCGCTTTTACACTACTTTAGTAATATTTTGACCTAGTGATTGTTAAAAAAAATTATCGCCAGGTTTCTTCTGTTGAATGACGAAACTCAAACTGTCTATTTAAGTTTTCGAGTTATTCAAGACGTTGAAGTGGATATGTTCTTTAACAAACAGAGACTATGTATCAAATATAATCCCAAAGCTTATGCTTTGATATACACCTTTATAATTTATATGTGCAGAGGTGTACACAGATATAACGTGTATGTACTTGGACGTTATATGAATATACATCCCGTCGATGTTCTTACTCTAGGATCTCTATAGTCATTGTGTATCCACATAATGACTTTTCTGTTCGCTTTTCCACGATTGGATTAAATGCTTCTCTGCCAATATCAAACTTCCCTCAGCTGTTCATTTTGTTTGATAGTGTTATTGTACTTTATGTTTTCAATTACGTCATGATGATGTAGAATCCAAGCTTTTTCACATAGTGTTTAAGAAATCTGAGTCACTTGACCAATATGATTTTTGACGGGCTGCGTTATGACTTGTAAAGGCGAAAGTCGAATTTGAATTCCAAAACTGGAAATCATAATGCGAAAATCGTACAAATCCCTAATTACGTATTTATCAGCTTCGAACTACAATTCCACTTTTGACTTTTACACCTATGATACCTAGCGAAACTGATCAGATAAAATATTAGATGTTAATCAAAAATTACTATTTGATTTTCTGGCCGGAGAGATGATCTAGACATGAACGAACATGCAGGATTACGTTTTCTCTGATCTTGTTGAGTATTTCATGCTAGGTTTTCAAAACGAGTTTTCAGGATTTTTCATTTTCTTTCTTTTAAATTGATTATGCATTTTTGAAAAGGAAACTTTTTTATCGATTTGCATTCTGAAATACAGATATAACAATTAGAAGTAACCATATTTTGGCGCCATCTGACTAAAAACAAGATACTTTTATCCTTCAGATAGAGTAACTTAATGTAGGCTTACGTTAGAGTATAATTTGTGGCAGAGAAGTCTATGCATCAGAATATTTACATGAACCAATTGAAATATTCTGTTAATAAACCAAGGGAGAAACAGCTGATTTTGGGATTTCTCCGATTTCCACTGATTTTCATCGATTTTTTCCGATTTCCTGTGATTTGTTTGGGAAATCAAGTAAAAAGACTGCGATAAATAGTGTGGACCCGCCTTTATTTTTACAAAATAGTAATTAGACATAGTGAAAGTAAAGAAAAAAAAGATAAAATCATGAGCGGTTTTTAGAGATTTTTCAGGATTTTTAGGAATTTTAAACGATTTTTAGCTATTTTAATGATTTTGAATGATTTTTTGCGATTTTTAGTGATTTTTTACGATTTTCGATTTAAACCGATTTTTCAAGCTCAAAAATCAGTTATTTCCCCTTGTAATAAACACATTGACGTTCTTTATCTCCACTTCTAAGGCTATTTTTGGTTCTGATCACTAATTGGCTATCTGTTTTGACTGATAGATCCTTCTTAGGTAGATTCCCAGAAAACGTGGTTTTTAATCGATCAATCAATAATTCCAAAGTTAGCACATTTAGTTACTTTATAGAGCAGGTCGACTAACTAGGTCATCATAACTCTAACAAATAGTATTAAACTGAATGAGATGAAAAAATAAGCATTTGAAACTGAAATTGTTGCAGCACTCGCAGAAAAAATAATGAAATAAACTTTTGTTGAAAATGACTTAAGCATGATAAATAATGTTCCATTTGCTGTTATTTTAAGAAAACAAATTGACTACAAAAGATCGTCTACGGTCCTTGTACATCATCATCAAAGATAAAGTGATGACATTTAATTTATTCAGCAATGTTGACTCTTCAAACGATGATGATGATGTTCGCTATGAGTTGATGACAACACGTCTATTTTTACTTTTGATGACCGGTGCACTGGCTGTGTTAATATTTTACACTGGATTATCATTGCAACAGAAAACTGTCTTCATCGATTCACCATCGCTAGCGACGTATGAGGCGTTAGACATAAAGTATCATAATACTCTCACTTGTCCTTGCTCGGAAATGTCAGTGAAATATGCGTCATTTCTGTCATTTACACCAACTTATCATCAAGTGTGCAACAGTTCGGTCGTTAGTGATCAATGGTTTGATTATCTTGTTCATCAATATTCGCTTGCCAGCTATTATTCAGAAGACCTTCGAACACTTATTACACCCCATTTCGTTGTACTCAAAGCATTCTGTCAGTTATCTCAAACGACAGTTACCAACGCTGTTGTACAATTCGATCAGCGGATTTTCGTTAGTGCTCAAGTTCTATCTGAGGACCTGTTTCAACTTCAAGGTCAATCATTTATCAACTTGTTTAAATCTCAAACGTCCGGCAGCTTTACCAGATTATTGGATTTGATTAGTAGTATGACGCAAGGGAACAATTTGATACCAATGTTCGACTCACATTTTCTTGTTGGTATGTTTGGGTCCCAAGGTGAAATACTCCCTTATAATGGCGCTTATGGAGATGACAACGGTTCGTCGTGCCGTTGTCAAACGTCATCAATATGCACGTCAAAAATCGGCATTTATGACAGCACGAGTGGTGATTCTTTTTTATTTACTGTTGACGGATTCCGAACAGGATGTTGGCAACTAGAAGCACTTTTCCAATCGACTCTTGAGTGTTTCTTCAATCAAACGTGTTTTGATCGTATTCAGTCGCTCATAAATTCATCAGTACCGTTAAACGCAACAATTCTCAACTCGACACTCTTAATTAACTATTCAACAACATCGACTATCGGAACGATGGTGAAACAACTGATGCTCGAACAGTGGAACGCGAGTATCTCTTACTCACATTATTATAATGAATGTAGTCCAAACTATTGTATGTACACGTATACAACACGACTTGATACAGCCTTTATGCTTACAATTATTCTTAGCCTCGTCGGTGGTTTATCAAAAGTGCTAAGAGTTGTTACGCCACTCATAATTTTGCTTTTTCGTCAATTGCGTAATAGAAAGAGTCAAGAAGATGAAAAACGTAAGAACTAGTTTTTATCATGTTCTCTACCCTGTTTGAAGAGTACATCGGCTTGTCCACGTAACGCGACACTTCGCTGATCAAGTTTATAAAAAAAGAATTTTCGCTTTCGAAAATTTTGAACACATCAGTAGATGTAATTTTTAATTCTAAGAACCCGTTTAAAACGCTTTTCCGATAAAAATTGGTGTTTGAGTCTCAAAACCGGTTTTTGAACATTTCAAAAATCGGATTTTCTATTTTTAGCCGAGAAAGTTTTCGAAAAATAAATTTCTAAACATATGGTTTCGTAGAAAATTTAATTCTCTACAAAATGGCGTATTTGGTTTTGAGCTTCAGCGCTTTAGAAAATTTGTACATATTTGTACATTTGCCGACTTAATTTACAGTTTTTGACCCTCCAACCCGAGGTAGCGACTTTATTCTTGCGTATATCGGCTGACTGTAGCACGAATAATTATATGTATAAGTATCAAAATCTTCTGATCATATTGGGTCCCTTAAAAACACTCGACAAAAATAGTGCGTAATACCGTTACGTGTATGTTTTGATGTTTTTGCCTTAACTGAAGATGTTGGAAACATTCTATTTTTTACCATCGGATAGCCCGTTCTGTGCTCTACAATTTTTGTGCTAAAAACTTTTCATTATAACCTTTACCTTTGTCCGAATTTACGTTTTTGTTGATAGCACTCGAAAAAAAGAGTCTTTTTTCGTAACGCCGTTACGGCCTGCGAAAACCGTTCTCAAACGTCGAGACTTCATCCAAAAAACTTCATTTTTATACCGTAAATGGGGGTCGACGTGGTGCATCGAATGGCGTTTAAATGTGCTTTTTAACTATTTTAGTTTCCGAGATAATTTCATTTTAGTGCGTCCAAAACGTAACGCCGTTACGTTTGGACAAGCCGACACACTATAACGAAAAGTTAAATTTCGTTTAGAAGAGCGTCAAAGAACGCGAGCGTTGTCAAAGAACGCGTAATTCTAAAGTTTTGAACGGCGCAAAAGGCCTACGGCTCTTTTAACCGTCGTTCGCTAACGCGTTCGGGAAAAACGCGTTTTTTGGGCCGTTTCTAACGATTTCTTCTTGAAATTTTTCATTATTTCGGACTGCTAAGTACTCATTCTGCTGCTCTCCATTAATTTGTTGTCAGCTAATAGCATGTCAAAAGGATATGATCGAATGGGAAAAGTGGAAAAATATTTCTAGGACAAAAGTTGAGGGCTCAGACCTCTGTATCTTTATCGTATCTATTTAGCTACAAGATTAGAAGGTGTAAAATAAAATGTACATTTTGATCATTGTGCACTAAGCATATCCTTCGTGAATAGAAAGAAAAGAGCTGTTCCTTTGTTCTAGAAGAAAACGTTAGCAATCGGCTATATTTACTTTGTATAACGGTCAAACAACAAATGATTAGGTTCAATTTATTCAGAAATAAATCACGTGACACTAACGATATCAAATATCAACGTTTAAGCACACGTTTATACGTATTAATATTATCCATCACACTTGTTATTCTGGCTGTTTATAGCGGTTTGTCTCAACAAATAAAATTGATCATAGTTCAATCACCATCACTCTCCACTTATGAAGAATTAGAAAGCAAATACTCTGATACACTCATTTGTCCATGTTCACAGTTATCGATTAATTATAAAAGTTTTTTATCATTTGAGCCAAGCTATCATCAAGTGTGCAGGAGCGCATTCATCACTCAAGAATGGATCGATTCTCTCAGTCTTCCATTTGGCCTTTCTTTATCGCCACAATTTCAAGCTTTAAGATCATTTTGTCAACGATCAAAGGACACCATCGGTGATGCACTTGATCAGTTGTATTCATCCGTCTTCATTAGCTCAAAAGTGATACCATCGACACTTTGGATCACTCAACAACAATCATTTGTCAACGAATTTCAAGCGCAAACACCAAATGTTTTGATGAAGCCATTCGATCTCATTCGTGATATGACTTATGCAAATCAATTAGTGACATTTTCTGAATCGAACTGGGCATATACAGTTACTTGTAAGTTAAGTCGATTGATCTCAAATTCCCTGAGGTTGTACAAGGTGGAACCGCTAGTGCAGTCGCATACTTTTCTCAATATTCAAATTGTAGTCTCCTTGAAACGATGAAAGCTGAGCTGGAGTAAGCGTGTTAATACACTTACGTATCTCTTTTTAAAACCAGCCGCTATGGCTGAATGGTTATGTTGTTCGGCACGTACTTCAAAGGGACCGTGTTCGAGCCTCGGCGCCACCCATAGAATAACCTTGGACAAGTTACTAATGGCTATTGTCTCGGATCACCCGTCCGATAGCATGCTCACTACGTTGTGGCATACACCGATACTTCGGTGCCAGTATGTGGTTAGTGAGTGTGTATGGGGAGTTCAAACTATTGGGCGAAAAGAACTCTGTGTCAGGCTGGCCTTCTGTCCACAGCTGCAGCTTCCTTGATGACTAGTAGAAAAATGGGTGACCGCCTCTGAAGATCATCAGCTGTAGGAACGATATCGGGCTTATCGAAACTGCTTCGGCAGCACCCTACACCGCAAGGTACCCGCAAGGCGGGGTATTCTTCCTTCTTTCCTTTTTAAAACCAAATAATCTTAGTAATAATGTAATTTTTCCATTAAAGGGTATCACGATACGTTTGATGAGTTATATCCATATGCTATGGTCACGCCTGTTACGTATACGAACGATAATGAAACATGTTCGTGTTTTGCATCCCCAAAGTGTAAAACACCGTTCCAAAGTGATACCGATACTATTGATCAATTTTTTACTGGCTGCTATCCGATGGAAGCCCTTTTACAGTCGTCACTCGTTTGTTTCTACAGCCAGATGTGTCTAGATAAATTTCTTACACTCGTACGAATACAGGCGACAATCTGGAACGTACCAATACAGGCGACAACCTTGAACGTGACAATCCTGAACTCAACACTTTTAAGTAACTACTTCATTACATCGACGGTTGAAGACATTGTTCGACGATTGATGGTTGAACAATGGAATGCGAAATTAGTCTACGAATCATATTATCAAGAATGTGCACCAGCATCATGCAGCTATACATATATGAGAAAACTGGATATTGTCCATATGATAACCGCTACCCTCGGCCTATTTGGCGGTCTCACTATAGCATTCCAAATCATCATACCATTTGTAGTATTAATCGTGAGAATAGCTGTTAAGCAGTTAAACAGGCATAAAATCGCACCTACATTTATTTTAGTAAGAAAAAGATATTTTGTCTATATATACACACGTATTAACATTCATTTCAGGTACAAGAATATGAGCAACGATGTTTAGCGCCTCCGGTCAGGTAAGAGAGGTGACTGTCACCTTATATCTGATTTCCACTCTTCTTTTTATCATGAAGAAACAATTGCCGAAATTGCAGCATTATTATAACTATTGCCATTATCATCCTCGGTGTGCTGATCGTTTCAACAATATTTATGCTTAAACTACGTAAGAGAAAGGAGGCTTTCGTACTGATCCATCGCAGTATTATGCTAAAAAAGGCTCGTAAAGTCGTTCATATCACCGACAAAAAAATGAAGTTTATTTAGAGTTGAAGAAAAGTGTTTTTCGTATTCAGCACACTTGATAACCTGGAATTTCTATTTTTAGCGAGGGGTACCGCCAAAAAGTTAAGGAAAATTTTCAAACTTGTATACTTTTGCCATTGCAATTTTTCTGCGGCAATCTGTTTGAAAATTTTTCTTAACTTTTTGGCGGTACCCCTCGCTAAAAATAGAAAATTTTCCAGATTATCAAGTGTGCTGAATACGAAAAGGCCCTTTCCTTCAACTCTAAATAAACTTTAATTTTTTTTATCGGTGATATGCATTCTTAGAAACAGCACAAGCAGACGGTCGTATATACAACACATATGGTCTTCAAAACAAAAACAGAGATTAGCTAGAAAAGCACTGACAACACACAGGAGACATTTGAGCGGTTTGTTTGAATCCAAAGATTGATTACCTACCGGTTTTACCTTTATTGATATAAAGGTACATCAGGGTGTCTCTGAATATGTGTATGTAGTATAAGCCACAGTAAGAATGTGGATAATCTTTGAGGTTGATGTTAGCCCTAAAAGTTGAGTCCATACAATTGTTTTTGATCAAGGTCAATACTATTATTCATAAAATGACGTACGAATCAACGTCAGTGACAGAAACTCACTCTCATAGGCTTCATCTTTTTAGTCTTCATTCATTTAGGCGAATTACAGAAGGCAAGACATGTTAATCTAACATCCAGTTGGACAACATTAAGTACTTGAGATGGACTTTTCTGTTTCTTCCATCACTCAAAAACTTTTCGTTTCATAGACATACCGTCAACGGCTATTTTAAATACGACAACAACAATACGCACCACTGTCAGCACTGTCGCCACTACCGGTTTGGCTGGTAGTTACATGCAATCGGGTCACGATCACATTTCTCAACGTGTTTCGTTTTTTCAGAGAGTATTTTGAAGCAGTGTCCACTATTCAGTATCTATGTGGATGTTTCAATGGGTGGCAGCCAGTTTTATAATCTCTACGATGTGTCTACATCTTTTTGTTGCAATGTATGCGCGAACGACACCACATGTATTGGTTTCAGCTATACTATACAAGTGAACATTTGCTCTATAATCACAAGCAATTTGTTCTACGCGCTCACCCGTGAAGGCTTTGTGTCAGCAGCGAAAAATCAAGGTACATGTGTTACGTAATTTCTGTTTCTTATCCATAATATTTCTATCTTTTCTAGGTATTAAGAATACAACAACAGCTCCGACATTTGAGTAATTTGCGCTTTTTTCCATGTCTTGTCTCAATCTCTTTTCGCTCTTTTGTAGTAATCACTGAGAGCGACTGAGGAGCTTTTTTTGTGATTTTATTCGTATCTTTAGCTAACGACTCAATGAATATCACCACTGCAAGTACAAATTACGTGACAAGGTAAATAACATCGGTTGATATTAAAATGAAATAAAATACCGGTTAAACTCTTATAATCATCATGTAGCGAGTAATTTTCTCGCTGTTCATGTGTTCAAAGCCATTATCTGGAGAAGACGAGGCAGTCAATTTTGTGGATGTCACAGATTTGAGTGTAATTTTCACGAGTTGTCAACTTATGTGTTAGTAGTTTAAAATACAATAATACAGTATAGTACAATAATATAGTTTCTTTCATTAGTTATAGTTGTTACCAATATTAACGGTAAAGGAGCTTAGATTTTTTCGCAAATTCGGAATTGGCCTTAGCATGGTCTATCCCGAAATCGTTAAATCGCCTGGTTCTCATGCTACTATCTTTTAGGCACTTAGAGAAGCCATGCCACTCTATACATCCATAAACGTTTTTTTAGTTACAATAGAAATGGAAGAAAAATTGAATATACCTATACACTCTGAAATAGAGTATTGTTCTATGTGCTTGAGAAAAGAATATTAAACTATTTTTGCCACAGATTCACAAAAATAGTTTAACATTCTAAAAGGAAAACAATATAAAAACACTATGAGTGAAAACGAGTTCATCTTGTTATCCTACATGGGAAAAAGAGTCAGTCTATTCCAGTAGATAATGTTTTCTACGAAGGTTTACTTCTAAAGGCCCCCAAAAACAATGCTAACACTGTTCTAAGTATAAAGTTAATTAGCATAATGTAATGTCGAACACGTACGAAAATACTATGTAATACATTCTTCTGAATCGAATTGAAAAAAGAACAAAAGTCTTGAAAGCAGTCGAGTTATCAGAAAATTCCATTTCGAGCCTATTGTTTTGAAGATTTTTCAAAAACCCATATCCTGTTATCTACTTTGTTACACACCGAGACTGTAGTCTATAAAATCCTTTGTCTAACAAACACATCAATATATCTCTCAGTTCGGCTTGTACTTGTTGCATGACTTACTCTATCAGATAATGGCTGATAACACATCGTTCTGGGCCACGATCCAATTATTAATGGTGTTGTAATTGGTGTTTCTAGCACAATGAACTAAATGGCGAAGAGAAGCAAAACTATAGACTAAATTCTATTAATATGGATATCACCTTTAGT